GCCTACCTATGAATAAATATTTACTAATAGAAACTTTAAATATATGTGTAGCTTTTTATAAACATATAGTTTAAAAAGGGAAGTTATTTCATAATATGGATGGTATTACTAATAGATATTGACTAAAAAATAAAAAAAAATTTATTTACTCTCAGAATCCTAATGCCTAATATAATCAATATATATATACTTAATTTTGATTTTTTATGTGTGTAGCTGATTAAAACACTCTGAGAAAAGCAGATGATCAATCTTGATACCTTATCATCATCTCCACTTGCTGCCTTCATAAACCTTCTTGCAAAAGGAAAGCAAGCACCTCAGACCTCTGAAGAAACCAGAGTCAACTCTATTGCAGAAGCTGTCTACAACAGTTTCTACTGTTAAGTGATGTTAATTGCTCAAAGTATAAAATATGAAAAAGAGAAACTCATAATAAATACAAATATCATTCTGTTTAATAGCTTGCAAATGACATTCTTTCTTATTAACATATAGTCAGGCTTATGTAAGGCTTAAGCTTTCAAGAATTACTTAGAAAAAGCAGAAAATGAGAAATTAAAGATTGTAATTAAGATTTTTATATAATTTGGTAATTCCACTGAGTTTTGATAAGTAGAAATGAGAATATCAAAAATAAGTAAATGATTCTGAAAATAACAGCAGGTCTTTCCTAGGTATTAATTCATTCTGAATTCATTCTTCCAAATTTATTGAGCATTAAAGAGGGAGACTTACGATGAAATATGGGATCCTATTTAAAGCATAAGTTTGTGGTTTTAAGCACACTCTAAAACTAAAATTTCAGAACAATCACATACAGTTTTTAAATTCCCAATTAACCTTAATGTTTTACTGGGATAATAACAAAGACGTGGTATTGTGGAACTTCTTGCTTATGACATAGGACCCCATAGGTAGCCATGATGAGTATGTCAAAAGTCGTTGTGACTAAAATATTTAAATCAGAATGAGGGGATGCTAACTAAATAAACAGAAACAAAAACAAAGCTAGCTCCACCAGTGAAGGTAAATCTTTTTCCAGTTTCTGAGTTTATCCTCCTTTCCTTTTTATCCTTCAGCTACAGACTGATGGCATAAGGCATATGAGAAAGGAAAATATTATATTAGGCTTAATAATATATGTTAAACCTAATATAACATTTTATCAAATATAAAATATATTTTGATAAAGCCCTTGCCTTATCAAAAATAAAATATATTTTGTAATACAAGAAAAAGGAATCTGTAGCTTAATAAAACCTATGTTGGCTAAGCTTTTTAAAGGAGAGATTATTTTACGGAAATCAACCTATACTTCATAAACTACTTATAATAAATAAGTCTGTTGAATATCAATTCAATGTTATTGGTAAATAAAATATAATTATCCTCATGATATGGTGGGAAAGATTATTACATTTTAAGTGAGCCAAATTACTAAAGCATTAATTACTATTAGCAGTGTTGTAAGCAAAGTCTATATCAAAACTACATGATCATTTTTCTTTACACTACCATAAATAAAAGAGTTCTACTCCATATCACATATTGTAGTCGTTTCCTGAGGTAATATAATAAACTTCACAAAGATGGTGCATAATTTACATCTTTTACCTACTTTTTTGAAAGAAAGTCACGAAAAATATCATATCAACATATATGAATATATAACACACCTAAAATCACATATTTTTTTCACCTATAAAAGAAAAATAATGTTCTGCTAACAAAAGCATAGTAATTATAGATTAAATAATAGAAAATTTTGACCTGGAGAATGATTCTGAGACTTGTTTAAGAAAGTTCTTGATTTTTCTTCAAGGAGTCTGACCTCTTGGGATGTTGTACTTTCTTTAACCACTTCTCAACAACAATCTCATTCCTCTCTTTCAGCTTTATTCTAAGAAGAGAAATTTGGAGGAAGAAATCTTGAGTTCATTAATCTCCTCCAATGTTATGAAGGTCATGAAAATTAGAATTTTAGATTTAATGAGGGAAATTGGATATTATCTGGTCAAATTCATAAAGCCTGGAACTTCATAAATTCACAAATATATTTGTCAAATTGATTTTTCTACCTAAAGTTTTAAAACACTTAGATTTAGTTTTCATTATGCTGGAGCCAGTGTATGTAGAAAATATTTCTCTTTTGAATTTATTGTATTAGAAATAATTTGATTTTAAATTCTGTCAGTGAGTCAGGATTAGAATTAGCACAGGGGTTGGCCTAATCACTGGACTACATATATCCCTGTGAATTGAATTAGTAGAAAGCTAGGCTTGTAGAGAAGAAAAAGTCAGGGTACAAGATAAATTGATATTTGCTTTGCTGAAACTATACACATAGACTTTTGAGGAAAAATGGTACAATGAGAATAAAATCTGGAAAAATATTCAAATTCTGTTATATTTTCAGAATTGACTATACTAATATAAATTGATGCAGTCTACTGATAGACCATAGAATTGTTTTACTTAGAAAATGAAGAGTAACTGAAATTATTTTCCGTAATTATTTGGTTTGTGTGGTAATTTTTTAAATATTGCAAAATAGTATCATGACTACACTATAATCAAGGTCATATGCATAAACAAAAACTGAAAGAAAAAGAAAATGAATTAAAAAGAGGGTTAGAACAGCTACTTATATATTCTTATACAATTACAATTAGAGTCTTTAGAAATAAATTTTAATTTTCTACATTGCTTGATTCATTCAAGCATGTCTTCAAATACTACACAAAGGTAAATTTATTCTTACATGATTCAAGAGTTTCTGAGCATCGGATACACTGTGTTGTGTTTTTTAACATATCTCTGCAAGAGTATCAGAACTCAACCTTAACTAATATCACACAGATACATTGAATAGAAAATCATCATGAGATTTCTCCTATATCACTGTATTTTAACTTAAGCGATACCAATAATTACACTAACCATCATCGCAATAATAAATTCAATATATAATTACCTGCTATTTGTAGATACTGAAATCACCTTAATTCTTATAACAGCATTCAAAATGTGACATTATTCCCATTTTAGAGATGGGAAAACTGAGCGTCCAAAAGATTAACTGTTTTGCTGGCACCCAACCAACTACTAAGTATCTCCCTACGGCTTTGTTTCAAATATGAATACATTATCTCCCTTCACACAGCCCTAGTCTTCTTTTGTTTTATGTTCATTAAAATGTGCAAACCAGTATAAATACATAAGTCATCAAAAATACACTCAAAGGACAGGGTATTAAACAATTTTTAAGTATAAACATATTTTTCTGCACAATAAGGCTGTGTCATTAACTTAATGATTTGTCACATTTAAAATTAAGCTTAACTTTTTTTCTTTCTCCCTCTTCTCTTGCTATTTTCTCCTATCTGGCAAATATCAATATAGCATTAAAATCAGTTTGGAAGGGTAACTGAAAATACAAGCATACTATATTCTTTATTTCCTGCAGGAAAGCATGCAGTGAAATGCAAACCGTATCTGCACTTCACATAATCAAATGATTACTTTGCTCTACAGGCAGGAATTATGTAGCTATTTTGTCTGACAGTGGGCATGGGTATATACTCTTTGTGCACTTAATTTACATTCTGACATTTCTACTAAGAATTTTTTATATCAAGAACTGAAAGAAAAAGAAGGTTCTATCTGGTTGAAGAGTTCTCAACTTTAATAAAATTAGGATATGGAAAATCTGCCCAGGTTAGGCCTGTTTGTATAGGCTTATAGTTTCTGCAGTTTCAACATAACAGGAGTGAATTAGCATGAATATTTAAGTGAATGGCCTCTGCTTCTGAATCGGTTCTATATCTATACACATATTTCTTGCATTTAATCTTGAATCCATTTGCTAATAACACCCCTTTATAACTGATATATCTCTAATTATCACAAAATATTATTTAGTTGTAGCAATTAATAGATATGTAATGATAAACTTTTATGATGTAAAGTGAAACAATTTTTACAAATAAAATTATATGTTTAGAAAATTCTTATGTGCTACAATGTTATCCTTTTGTTTTCATCAAAACAAATATAAAAATTATTTCATACGCCTACAAACGAAGTACACAGAATCAAAATTTGTGTTTCTAAATCTCACATTTCAAATATGACAATTTTGCAAAATTTAAATAGAAATATTGGAAATACACATTTGCATTTCAATGATGATTAATTTCTCATTAAAATAGGAGTACCTTAGTCCTCAAAATTGTAATTTACTTTGTTCTTTCCCTCTCTCTCTCTTTTTTCTCTCTCTATATGCATGTATAGATATAAAGAGATACATAATGTTAATGTTAAGAAATTTCCCCACAGAACAAATACAGTGTTATAAAAATAATTCAGAATCTACATATGTATCAAAACTTTAAATTACAAATTACTTCTTATTTGCCTTGTTATATTTTGATATAATACAAATCTCAAAATTAAAGTATTTATTTGACATGACAAAAACTAACACTTCACCATTAATTTATATTAACAAAACCTAAAGGCTATAAATCTTAAAATATAGATAATTTCAACATCAAGTGTAGACGTAATTGATAAATGTTAATATTTATTATTCTCAGCTCATGCAATTTCTCATTTGTATAAGCAGATACTATTTATTAGAAAATATTTACCCCTAAAAAGGGATAGATAGACCTAATGATGATATATCATCTCATATGTTTATTAACCACAATATTAACATAACTATGAAAATACTTGTTACAAAAAATGGTGCATTTCATAATTCAAGAGTAATGACCAGCAAAATAAATGTAATACAATCTCATAATAATACATTGACAAGAGTAATAACTACCAAATAGAAGGCACATAACTAACCTATGACATGTCAAATCATGTGCGAGAAAATTGGGCTGTAATGGGATCTTGAGTTACATATCAGAGAAATAACATACTTCTACTTTTCTCAGTTAGAACAAGCATAGTAGGAGCAACATTTACCCCAAAACACTCACCTACAGTCAGCTGTCCAGTTAACTGCCCCATGTGGTTTCTTGCATTCACTGTTACATTTCTGTCAGACTGTAAGACCAGTGGACTATCCTGGGAAACATGTATAAAATAAACAAATCAAATAGAAAATAGAAATATAGTCAGACGTACATCAAATTGTATTGTATTTGTTTGGATGTTGTCAAAAATTTAATTTGTTTGCTCTATCTTAGAGAGTTAATTTAATATCCCAAACATTGGCAGACAACGTAAAAAAAATGAGATAATAATGACTCATAACAATTCTTGACGGCATATTATCATTTTCATAAGTGGGTATTAACTATCAGACGCAAGCATTTCCAACTCTACTGATTGTTGTACATCAATGGTGGAATAACCCTTTTCCTTTTTCTCTTCCCGTGTCCCGCCTGTGCAGATATTCCAGAAGCTATCCCAATGGCAAAAGTCCCTTTATAAGTTTAAGTTGCAACTTTCAGATCTCAGCTTAAATGCTACCTCCTCAAAACTGGCTCATCTAATCAGTATAACTGCAAAGTCTTTCAATCCCCAAATTCCCATTCTCCATTTAGTTTGTTTTAAAGCACTTATCAAGAAGAATTTAATTTTATATGTCTATTTGGGATTTTTTGTTTTTGTTTTTCTTTTTTACTTAATTTTGTCACAGAAGGAAACATCCGGGGCAGGAATCATGACAGCCATGTCTATGCAGTTACATTTCTAATAAGCACACTCCTGAAGGAAAGAATTTATAAAGTGTTTACTGAGTAGATAAAAAAAATCTGCAAAGTAAAATTGATACTATAGTACCTTATTTTTCAAACTCATATGGAAATAATCTGTAAATCATAGAAGGATTTCTCAAGAAATTATACACAATATAAGATGTTTGTAAATCCTTTAGGACATATAACTCTGGTTACCTGTTGACTTTTATCAGTAATTTAGCACTTAACAGGATAATTGTTTATTGAAAGACAACAGCACTGCCTTAACAACTCACTTATTAGGCTTTTGTCATATCTCCCTTAGACAAGTAACATCCAAATCCCTACATTCTCATTTTAATGTAGGGTGATCATTTACAAATCTGCGTTCATTTATCCAATAAATACTCATTGCATACTCACTATGTACAATATAATGTTCTAGAGGTAGGGACATTTCAGTGATCAAAACATAGAACAATACTTGCCCTCTTTGAGTTTACATTGTGGATAATGAAATACCATGAAAATGTCCTCCAATACCATCCTCACCATCTAGGCAGTAAGCCACGTCTATGTCAATGTCAATATACAAGTGCTTTCATATATAAGCTATATTAAAACTCACAATATCAGGATTTGGAATTTGTGATTTGGATATATATATATGGCTTTTTGCTAAAGCTGTTTTGCATCCCTTCTGGCTACATGTAAAGCATTGAGCAAAGATACACACATAGATACATGCACATATTTTCTTTTAAAGGTAGATTTTACTGGTATGACTAAACTAAGATGATTTTTAAAAGTAACTTCCTACATTTTGAATAATACACTTACTTTGCAAAATTAAACATAGCTGTAACAAAACTACTAAAGTTAGTATCATTTTCTGCCTGTCTCATATTACAACTCAGCTCTTTCAGCCTTATATCAAAAGTTTTATTTCTGCAGTTTTAAAAGAAATAAGTCTAGTTTTTTAGCCATAGGTGTAATTATGCTGCAGAAATTTATCTTGTAAAAGATATAAAATATTTTAAATTAATTATATCATCTTAATCAAGGGATATGTCTGAAATCATCCTATTCAAGAGATATGTCCAAATCCTGTTTAAAGTATAGTTCATGGACTAAAGATTGTCTGCAAACAGCTATCTTATACCCAATGAGAATTCTACTTTCTCTTGATAATAACATAGAGATGATGGTTCATACAGGAACACACACACACACACACACACACGCACACAAACACACAAAATTCTATTCAATCTTGGAAGAATTCAACCTAAGTACTTTAAAAAGTAGTTTTGGATTACACACATTTGAATATTTGAATGTAAGAAACAGTAAAAGTGTATGAAACATCTTCCAGTTCAAAAAAATGCAAAAAAAAAAAACAAAAAAAAACTATAGGTCAAATTTATATTCATTTTCTTTCAATATTTGTATGGTATAGCATATATGAGTTTGGTTTAGAGTTTTAAAATATATGACACTATATGTTTTTATTTGAGTTACTAGACATATTACACATAAATTTCTGTGAAGAGTAGAGTAAAACAGCATAACCATATGTATATATAATTTATAGACTATGTAAATGTATTATAGGAATTATTGCTTTATTAAACATGTTAAGATAAAATAATTAGGTTGAGAAGGCAATGGATATTTTACTTAAGAGAGAAATAGACTTGGTAGAATTGAAAGTTTAGGCTGGGCATGGGGGCTTGTGCCTATAATCTCAGCCCTTTGAGAGGCCAAGGCGGGGGATTACCTGAGGCCAGGAGTTCGAGAGCAGCCTGGCCAAAGTGGCAAAACCTGATCTCTACTAAAAATACAAAAAATTAGCCAGGCATGGTGGTGGGCACCTGAATGCCAGCTACTAGGGAGGCTGAGGCAGATGAATCCCTTGAAGCTGGGAGGCAGAGGCTGCAGTGAGCCGAAATCACGGCACTATATATTAGCCTGGGTGACAGAGCAAAACTCTGTCTCAAAAAGATAAAAATAAATACAAATAAAAAGGAAAGAATTGAAAGTTCAATCATTCTGCATCTTTGTTGGCAACATAGCAATCTCCTTTTTCTTTAACCACAGAGATCTTGTTGAAGTTCTGTCTCTAGCACTCTTTGCTTCTTTTCACATAATTTTACGAAAGTTATTCTCATAATTAAATTTTTATATCTAGATTAAAATTTCACTGTGATAGCACCAATAATTTTTTAACTTAGTAGAACCATAAAGATATAGCTCTCAGAGGTAATGAGCAATTCTCTGCACTGTGTTCCTATGAACATCAATACATTATTATGCTATACTCATTTATTATAATGGATCAAGTGAGTTGAACCAAAACCAAGTATCCATTTTTGATAAATAAAATTTGATGGCTGAAAGAGCATCATTTCCATCCACAAATCACATAATCATTTCTGTATTTTATGTCAGTACCATGATATCTTTGCGGATTAAACCCATTGCTGATGCATTTCAAGTTTAACACGACCTTTTGCACGCTATCTACTCAGTACTAATTAAAACACACATGTGCAATACAATATGTATAATAATGAAAAATCTTTCAGTCATTTAAGGGAGATTCAGTCCTAAGCAATTCATAAATCTGATGTCAAATATATGTTTAGGTGAGAACCAGCACCAACATACCACCTCTTACAAAAAAAAAAAAGAAAGACCTTTAAGAAATATTTTCCCTTAATAAAGAATTGAATACTTCTTAGGTTTTATGTATTCTTTCTCATGTTTGTTTCTCCAAAGCTCTCTATATAAGAAATAATTGACACTAATATTTTACTCCATTCCACTGTCTTGTTTATATCCTTTATATTATAGCCCTATGTTCTAAAATTTTGAAAGCTAATATGTGTTTAATATATTTAAATAGACATAGTAGTACTCTCTTATACTTTATTCTTGCTGACAACATAAAGGAGAGAAATCTATTTTGGTAATATTTTTTCATGGAGTAGGAATAAGATATTTAAGTTCTGTAAAAGGAAGAAAGTAGTTAATATATTATTCAGCATGGTATACTAGTATAAATATCTTTTTTTGGAAGAAGAAAATCTTTATCTTCAGATTCCAATATTTTTTTTTCCAAGCTAATGAATCCCCCATAAGAGAAGTAAGGGATCTCATGGTTTTCTGTAGCCCTGAACTGAACTTGGCTGTAGCTCCAGAGAGGACATAGTGGCCTTCTTATGTCACTCTTTAGACAAAGCAGATAGGTGACCCAGTGAGAAAGGCAATGGGACTGTTAGGTGGAGCTGAGAGGCTCTACTTAAAATTATATTACACACATATTCTTCATGCCAAGGGTGTGGCTGCAATCTTCTAATTTTTTTTTTTTATTGTACTTTAGGTTCTGGGATACATGTGCAGATCATGCAGGATTGTTGCATAGGTACATACATGGTAATGTGGTTTGCTGCTTCTATCCCACCTCACCTACATCTGGCATTTCTCCCCACGTTATCCCTCCCCAACCTCCCTACCTGCCCTCCCGCTTCACTCCCCTGGCCCCCGCCAACAGACCAGTGTGTGATACTCCCTTCCCTGTGTCCATGTGTTCTTATTGTTCATCACCTGCCTATGAGTGAGAACATGTGGTGTTTGATTTTCTGTTCTTTTGTCAGTTTGCTGAGAATGATGATCTCCAGATTCATCAGTGTCCCTAAAAAGGACACAAACTCTTTATTTTTTTATGGCTGCATAGTATTCCATGGTGTATATGTGCCACATTTTCCTTGTCCAGTCTATCATTAATGGGTATTTAGGTTGGTTCCTTGTCTTTGCTATTGTAAACAGTGCCACAGTTAACATACCTATGCATGTGTCTTTATAATAGAACGATTTATGATTCTTTGGGTATATACCCAGTAATGGGATTGCTGGGTCAAATGGAATTTCTGTTTCTAGGTCCTTGAGGAAGCACCACACTGTCTTCCACATGACTGAACTAATTTACACTCCCACCAACAGTGTAAAAGTGTTCATATTTCTCCACATCCTCTCCAGCATCTGTCTCCAGATTTTTTAATGATCGCCATTCTAACTGATGTGAGGTGATGTCTCAATGTGGTTTTGATTTGCATTTTTCTAATAACCAGTGATGATGACTATTTTGCACATGTTTGTTGGCTTCATATATGTCTTCTTTTGAAAAGTGTCTGTTCATATCCTTCACCTACTTTTGGATGGGGTTGTTTTTTTCTTGTAAATCTGTTTTAGCTCTTTGTAGAATCTGAATATTAGCCCATTGTTTGTCAGATGGGTATATTGCAAAAATTTTTTCCCATTCTGTTTGTTGCCAGTTCACGCTAATGATTGTTTCTTTTGCTGTACAGAAGCTCTGGGCTT